ATATATTCTGGAGTACTTTGAGTGGAATGGTGTCAACTCCTCCCTGAATGTTTGGTTGAATTCACCAATAAAGCCATCTGGGGCCTACCAACTCTTTTTATTTTATTACTTCCTATCTAGTCTGCTAGCCACATTGCCCTTAAAATAAACTTTAAAAAATGGTTATCTGTTTACTTCACTCTGCTTAATATTCTTCAATAGCTATTATGATGAATAAGAAAATTGGCAACAGAAATTCTGAAGCAAATTGTTTATATGGTTGCTTCCTGCCCTTCCTTTGTCTATGCTCTAACCAACTGAACCAGCTTTCACTTTGTAAAGGAACCATGCTTTTTTTTTTTTTAATCTCTGGGAGTTTGGTGTTGATTTTTCTTTTTCCCTCTGCTTAGAACACTGTTACTTCCAGCCCCTATCTTGCCCTGAATAATTCCTATATATACTTTGGATTTTAGCTTAAACCACACTTTCTAAGGAAGCCATTCCTGAACCTCAAGATCAGGTGATGTGCTCTCCCTTTTCTCTGCCATCTTTGCATTCCATATATTCTTTTATTTAGCACTTATCGCCAATAGTAGAATTGTCTGGTTAATCATCTATATGTACTGAACTGGAAGCTAATTAAGGGAAGAAGCTGTATCTATCTTATTCATCAGTGTATGAATGGTGCCTCACATACATCATAATACATAGTAAATGCTTAGTAGACATTTATCAGATTAATTAATAAGTAAATAAATTGATGGTGGTTCAAACTCACCAGCCACTCCTATAAAAGGAACCAACTCAACAGCACTTAACAACAGCAACAACAACGTGTGTATGTATGGATTAATGGATGGAAGTAAGGAGAGAAATATAAGACATGGTTTTAGCCATGGTGGATCTCAGAGTAGCTCTACTGGCCTTGATAATTTTTTTCTTCCATTTCCCACAGTGGTTATTTCAAGCCTCCACCTTTATATTGAAGGCTTCTTCCCTCAGTCTTCTAACCTCTGAAAAAAGATTGTCTCCTACTTCACAGAAGAACTGGGGACTAAAGATCGTTAGGCAATAAGAGCCTCAACTTCTTGCCCATTATATAGCCACTAGAAATTTATCTACATCACCAATTATCTTTCTCTCTTTTCTCTTTCAGACACTGAGGTATCCCTCACAGCCAAGACACCTGCTCTCCTCTGAATCCCCTGAAAACTAGTCATTCCCCTTCTCTGCAATATTTTCCACTTCTCTCCATTTGCTGGTTCCTTTCCGTAGCCTGTCCACAGTGTAAATGTTTGCTCTTAAATATAACTAAAAAACAAGCAATACTTTCTTTAGCTCTCATGCCTCTTTACCAATTATTCTTCATTCTCTTTCCACTCACACTTAAATTTATTAAAATAATAATTTACTTTTGTTGTCTTTCCATCCTCATTTTCCACTTAATCTGTGGTTCATTGTGATCTGTCCAACTAATCCCTCTACACTTTCCATTTCAGAAAATGGCACCCTGTTCTTGCCATTGAAGACATAAATCTGGTGTTCCCATTTCCTGACTTCAGTCTTTTCAAACCATACCTGTCCACCTGCTGCCCAGAGATGCTCATTATCTTTAGTCTTTGAGCTACATAGCATCTCTGTTTCCTAAGTCTGATCTATGTGATCCTTGTTTGTTTCTCTCTTTTCCTCCTGTCTCTTCAGACTAAACTATTCTTAAGGAGGAGGCAAGAGAAGCTAAGGCAGAAGTAAAAATATATAGGAATTTCCCAAGGATGATCTAGGCCAGTGGTTCTCAAGTAGGATGAGGAGAGATTTTGTCTACAGGAGACAACTGGCAATGTCTGGAGACATTTTTGAATATCACACCTTGAATGTTACTGGCATCTAGTGGTTGAAAACCAAGAATGCTGCTAATGATTCTGTAATGACAGAATAGCCCCCACAACAAAGAATTATCCAGCTCAAAATGTCAATATGCAGAGGTTGAAAAACCCTGATTATCTATTGTCACCCACGTCTAATATTTCACATATAAACAAGAGGACATAATGAGAATATGTGTTTAGTGATTTTACAGTCCTGGAGACATTATCCTGCTAGGCTGTATACTCCAAGAGGTCTGAACCTGTGTCTGCGTTACTCATTGCTAAAACCAGAGCCTCACACAGTGCCAGCCACCTGTTGTTTGGGCTGGATTGATTATGTCAGAAGGATGATAAAATATGGAATGAACCAATCAAAAAGCACTGGGAAATGAATGCCTAGGTATGTCTGCATAGACTTATGCCTGTACATAGCAAGTGCAGAAGGAGTTGATGAATTCTTAGGTAAATGAATAAAGAGAAATTAGCAAGTTTGAAGGGTACAGGTACTTTTATCTTTTAGTGGTTTAAGATCATGCTTTTAGAAAGGAGAAACATTACAGAGAGTGAATAGCTAGTTGTACAATGCTGAAGAATAAGACTTTGTGTGTATGTAAGACCAAGTGAAATAGGTCACATTCCCTCCTTGCTCTATCTTTTGCTTCCTTCTACTGTTCTCAGTAATTTATATACTTAATTTTCTTCTATCCCTGCCCCCAATGTCAACAATCTTCCCTTTCTCTTGAACCTTCAAGAGATAATCTTTTCCTTCTCTTTGCCATGCTGAATTTCAGAGTAGCCAGGTGTTTTAGAACTTAAAAAACCAGGTTTTGGGGAACTTAAAGTGTATACAATTTGAAGTACTTCATGAAGTAAAAGGACAAAGTTACAAATATGAATAGGAATAAAAATAACTTCAATTAGAATAGAAAATAGATTCCAATGAATTACAAAGTTTTTAAAAGAAAAATTTCTAAAACTTAGATCACTAGTCCTTACTGATTTTAGTAACATGGGTCTGACTCTTTCATTCTGATCTGATTGGCAGTTCATTCAGCACAACGGATGACTGTGGTTGCTGGCAGCAATGAGAGTCTGACCATCTCCGACCTTGAGAATGTTAGATACAAACATCTCAGCTGGATTTATAACCAAAATCAGAAGATTGTAGAATGGGATGACAATGTCCCAAATTACTTCATGTCTAAAGACAAGTACTATCTTGCTAACAATGGCACGCTGCACATCTACAGAGTCCAGGAACAAGACAGTGGCAACTATTCCCTGCAAGTAGTGAACACAGATGGAATAGTTCAAAAATGGCAGATCCAACTGGAGGTAAAAGGTAAGTGAAATGAGCCAAAGGGCACATCCTGGAGCCCCAACTGACTACTGGGAGATTTTTCTGATGTTCCTGGGTACATTCTCTCATGGGAAGAGAGTAAAACCTCAGGACAGGAACAATTAATTGCTTCTAAAACCTATTCTATTTAGAAGTGACCTAGGAGAATAGACTCCATAACTGGAGGAGCTAAAAACCTCTTCTGCAGTCAATGAGACTCAGTTTTACAAACAAAGAAAACAGTAGAGATGAATTTCATTCTATTCCCTTCATTCTCTTCCATCTATCAACCTAGATATGTCTGATATCACCTTAATTTTATCTCTGAACAAAGACTTCACAGAGAAGAGAGAAGGATGGGGAGAAGAGAACAAAAACTATGAAGAAGGGCTTTTTGCCTTTCAGAGTAGGTACAATAAAGTTTTAGTCCTTCATTACCTTCACTCATAGATCCTGCCTAACCAAAGTATATAGGATAAGGATAAGATATTATACTTGGGGTTGGATGGACCTGAGTTCAGAATGCAGACCAGTAATTTACTAATTCTGTGACTTTGAACAAAGATCTTAGCATCTCTGCCTACATTTGGTAAGGTTTTTATGATGGCAAGTAGCAGACACAAATTTGATATCACTTTAGTTAGAAAGGAGAATTTATTTCAAGGAACTGGAGTTAATTGTAGTAATTCAAGGTGTTTTAATGAATCAGGAAGGGCTAAGGGGAAGAAAAACTGGTAACAGTTTAAAGAATCTGTGAGTTGAACCTGTGGATTCCTGTCATCGATATGACTCATCTCCCCAAGCCTAAACTTATATCTCTCAATTTAAATCCTAAAGAGAAAAAAATTATTGGCCCAGCTTATACCTTGGAGACATCCCAGCTTTTATGGTCCAAAGGTCTAGGTTATATAAAATCATAACATTGTTCCTGGGGAGGTCTCCCTGAAGTTGTAGTTGACTATCATTATACAATGGGAACTGGACAGACATTTAAGAAAGGTGTTCACCTCAGAGTCTTGGACTCCTCCTTATATAATGAGTATGATTATTTCGACTTTTTAGGGTACTATGAGTCCTGGTGTGGCACCGTAGTATAAGCACTGACTGCAAGGTTGATTTGAACCGCAAAGTCGGCGGTTCAAACTCATCAGCTGCTCCTTGGAAACCCTATACAAGGTTGCTATGAGTTGGACCTGACTCAATGGCACTTAACCACAACAACAACATGAAGATCAAGTAGATAATGACAATGAATACATTTTAAAAATGCTAAAGCACAATATGAATTTATTCCACAAATTCAAATCCCACCAACAAAATGGTACCTGTGTAACAGATTGGTGTCCCCTCTCACTATGTATCTAAACTGACTCCACCACACATAATAACAAGAACATGGTGTAAATACTCCCCAAGGCTAATACTAAGCTACTAATTGTTTCACAATCAGCTTTGTAAAATATTAGAATATTTAAAAGACACCATAAGAAACACACAAGTCAGTATCACTTATGAATATTGAAAATATGCAAAAATTCTCAAGAAAATCCTAAACAGAAGAATTCAACAACATCTTAAAAGACCACGACCAAGTGGGCTTTATTCAAAGGATGCAAGAATGGGTCAACTCTAGAAAATCAATGTTCTTATGTGATACAAACATCAATAGAACAAAGCAAAATGATCACATAATCACTTCTATCCATCCAGAAAAACCATTTGATAAAATATAACACCTTTTCACGGTGAAAACCCCCAAGAATATTGGAATTGAAGGAAAATTCTTCAATATAACTAAGGGCAGATGTAAAAATTATATCTACGAGGGTTAGTATAAAACTATTGCTGTAAAATCATATGAACCTTTATTTAAAAATATCAACATGCTAAGTTATTGTTTCTTTTTCTTCCTTTTATGCTGATATAATTGTGAAGGCAGTGTCCAACCCCACCCCAAGTCTTCATTCTTCAATTTATGCCATGTCAAAACAGCTGTTTTAGAATCCTTAAAGGACTCAAACTGTGTTCCTTTTTAATGTTCTTTGAGTTTTGGGAACAAGAAGGAGCTGGAAGGGGCAAGATCAGGGCTGTAGAGTGGATGGCGTAAAGTTTCCCAGTGAAATTCTCGTAGGACAGCCTTTGCTCTCCTTGAAGAAGAAGCAGGTGAATTGTTGTGATGAAAATAATTCCTTGGTGCAATTTTCCTGACTATTTTCTCATCAATGCAGCTTTCAATTCCCTTAAAACTTCTTCCTAACAAGATCCCATGATTATCCTATGTCTTTGGAGAGAATCTAGCAAGATTGCCCTTTGGAATCTCAAAATCAGTCACTATAACTTTTGGAGCTGACCTCTCTGCCTTGAATTTAAGCAAAAACTCTTGGAAATCACTGTTTTTGATTACAGCCTCTCTTTTTTGAATCTATCCTAATGAAACTATGACAAGTGAGATAATTTGTTGGAAGCCATCTACTAATCACAGAGACATATTTAAACATGTTTTGTTTGTAATAAACCCATGTATATATAAAATGGAACCCTAGTATTAATACTTTTTAAAACTTACCCTCCTACAGTTTAGTGTTTTAAATAGCTAACATTAAACCTGTTATAGAGTCCTGGTGTGACTCTGTGGGTAAATGCACTAGACTACAAAATCAGTCTGAACCACAAGGTTGGCAGTTAAGGCTCTCCAGCCGCTCCTAGGAAACCCTGTACAGGGTCACTATGGGTCAGAACCAGCTCTGCAGCATAATACTAGCTCTATGGCACAAAACAATACCTGGTATGGCACTGTAGGATAAGTATGGGATTGACACTCCTCAGAGATGCTGTACAGGGTCGCTGTGAGTCAGAACTTACTCAGCAGCACATAACACCATAGTTAAGGGAGAAAGACTGAGCGCTTTATGCTCAGTTTTACTACTTTTCTTCAATATCATATTTGAAGCATTTACTGATGAAGATCAAAGACTACAGCCCTCAGTATGAATTACACGTCAATTAAAGAAAACAAAAATCCTCACAACTGAACCAATAAATAACATCATGATAAACAAAGAAAAGATTGAAGTTGTCAAAGATATCATTTTACTTGGATCCATAATCAATGCTTATGGAAATGTTGTTGTTGTTGTTGTCAGGTGCCATCGAGTCGGAACCGACTCATAGCGACCCCATGCATAGCAGAACGAAACAATGCCCGATCCTGGGCCAACCTCACCAACGCTGCCACCCCCGAGTCCATCAATGATGCCACCTGGCCGATCCATCTCGTTGGAGGTCTTCCTCTTTTT